GCTCGTGAGTGGAGATACCGTACCCACTGTACCCACGAGCAATCGCGCTCTGAAAGGCGGCATACGCGGTCCGCTCAAATAGCACTTTTTACGTTCGGAAAAGCGGGCTATTAATATATTTTGAAGCTGCAAAGCACAGTTTTAGACTTAGCTCAACCAGGGGAACGAGAACGATGAAAATCTCGAAATTGTCATTTTGTCGATCCGCTGCCTTTGAAAAAAAATGTGACAAATATGCCCACATTTACCGAGTTTTAGTTGCAAAAATGTTTGAAATAGAAAAGCGACAGTTAACTTGTTACGAAATTCTATCTTTCAAATGGACAGAACCAGCAAAACCCTCATACCTTTTTGATATTCAACATAAATGTGCCGCCATTGGTTCTCTCCGCATTTGAATAGGCAACAAGCCATTCTGTAGTGGCGAGCCAACTCAAACTAGTAACTGCCAGACCTTGAGCATTTTGTGGGGCTTGAGTTGCGCGAACAAGCTGAAACTGATATGTTTATCAGCAATCAAAACAAACGCAGGAAAGGCTACCTCTATCTCAGGTTTTAGCTGGAAAATCTTCCCATTAGCATCACCTACTACCAACTGCTTTCCTTTGGGGCTCCATGATATCTCACTAATATTGGCTTCTAGCTTCTTTTCACCAAGGATACTGTACTTTGTTGGATTCTGAATGAGAAATATGTAGACACCAAAAGTACGTAAAGCGGTTCTTACCTGCATGTCAATCTTAGCCACACTGAGAGTTCTATCAGTATCTGACGCTGCAAACATATCAGCAAGTGCTGGATTCCATTCAAAAGCAATCCCTTTAGAGGCAGTGTTGCCCACGCGAACGGAGCATATGGGTACGGCCTGAATAACGATAAGAATGAGATAAATGTTGCAAATTCATTGGATAGATACCTCTCCAGGGACATCGACAGATAATGCTACGACGTTATAAACATGTACAAAACATCCATACTGATTATTCGTGAAGACACCGAGAAGAGTTTCATCGGCATTCAAACCGATGCTGACAATTTCCCACTGAAGATTTACCGTTAGAAAAGTCGAATTACGAAATCCATATAACGCTACCGAGCGCTTATGATACCATCAAAAACTTTCAAATCGATGAAAAAGCAATAAAAAGCGCAAAACTGAAAACCTGTGGTTCCAGAGCAGTGACTTTGGTTTGTTGAGCACCACCGAATGCTGCACTTGCGGATTCGTGAGCAATGTTGCTTCGCCAGGATACAAGCTGAAAGTTTCGTAAATAGTATATCAATATCCAAATAGCGCTAAATGTCCCATCCCTTAAGTCGATTTCAAAAAAATACCAGTAGCTTGGAATCATTGGTTTTTCAGAAAAAGCTTGATGTGGTGACACCATATTTTCGGCTCCGAAACTTGTGAACCCCACAACCACACCAAAAATTGTGAATCCCATCAACTAATCCCTAATTATAGTGTCACGATTACACGCTAAGTCTCGATTTTTACGACAAGTCAAGATTATTAAGAGCAGCCTATCAAAAGAGGGATGATCAAATTTAGATACGCGCGTTCACCAGTAGTTGCTCAAGTCTCGCAGTGACAAATAAATGCTCTCTCGCTGAAAAAGGTGGATTCCAAGACGAGTAAATGGCTAAGAAAGGAGGTGCAAAAGAGGCACAGCTCCGCCCATTGACGTGGGTGGTCCAAAAAGGGCCGGAATCAACTTCAGAGCATCCAGTATTGTTAGGAACATGTTTTAGCAATGCATTTCAGCCACGTCTTTGGTACTCTAAAGTCCAGCTTCGGACTGCACTTTCAGACCCTAGTTAATGGGCGGGTTGTCTCTATGCAACCCCGGCAGGACTTGCTTTTGTGATTTACCTTTTCCATTAGGATTTGGACACTTACTTAGTTAGAGGTCCCGCTCTACCGCAACAAAACATCACCTCCCTCCCTTACCCAAAAGTATGGGTAGCAAATCAAATTCAAATACTGGAGATACGATATGTGTACGGTACACGAAAATTACGACAGCTTTGTGAACTCTGCACAGCGTGGCACTGATTTTCTCCTGACATGGTTCCATTTTTTACCAGCTATGGCTCGAATTAACGTAAGAAGAACGAATGAAATAACTCACCTCATGGTTACTTGATACAGCTACAACGACTTGAAATTTGGAAGCTACTACCAGTTTTTGTTGGAAATGTATTGAAGGTGGTGCTGGTGCAAAGTTATGCACATTTGGTATTGTAGAAAGCGGGTGGCACTAAATAAAACAAAGAAATTTCTTGCCAAGTAGTAATCTCGGGTTACTGGACTTACCGCGAAAGTCTGCATTCTTTCTGCGTGTATTAATATCTAAAATAGAAAAT